TGCCAAGTTAAACTGGAGCCGATGTTCAGATGGCGCTGTTTAGAGCGCTCTGCAGTGCCGTGGGATCGTTCACTATCTGGACGTCATGCCAGATTTTGACGTCACCTGTAAATAACACGAAGTTCGACTACAGCAAACTAGCACACTCATTGATGAATACTAGGAATAAATGTGGCTCCGGTACTGATCCTTGGGGTACGCCACACTGGACGTCACTTTGGTCAGAAATGGAGCTGCGGACTCTCACTTCCAGCTAACGTTGAATGAAACGTTTTCTTATCCAATCCAGCAAAACTTCATCGATTCCATATTTTCGAAGCTTGTAAAGGAGAATGCGGGGTGCAGGCAATCGAACGCCTTCGAGAAATTCAGGTAGACGACGTCGACTCCCAATCTGACATCGGCATGCTCGGGCTAGAATCTAGTTTGTAGTGCAAGACCGCTTCCGGCGAAATTCGTGCTGCTGTGACACTAGGATGTTTTTGCTCTCAAGGTATTCCATGAGCCACTCTACTATTATACTTTCCATTACTTCTGATAAAACTGAGAGGCAAATGATTGGACGGTACTTCGAGGGCTGCGCACGATTCCCATAAGTAGAAGGGACTATTCCATGTTTCTACATCGTGAGAACCTGCATTTCCTCTAGACATCGCTGAAAGAACCGAGCTAATGATTCGGCAACGCTTATGGCAGCTATGTTCAATGCCTTAGATTCGATGTCGTCCATGTCAGGAGAGCTGTTCAAGCGCAAAGACAATAGTCTTTTCATCAAATTGGCTGTTGCGAACGACACGTGGTTCAATCCTAGAGGCAGTGGGAACTGTGTACAAAGCGAGGGTAATGCTGATTTATCTAGAAACTGTAAACGAAATGTTAGCGAAGCGCGCTGGCTGCCTCTTGTGTCGTTTACGCCAGACCATCTGTTAAACGTAGAACTGGGATTCCGCGCTGCACTCTGCGGAGCTTGTTGACGTGTCTGTACAGCAAGTTGGGATTTTTATCGAATTTTCCCGCGAACTTCAGTTAGCGCCAAGATCTTTCTTCGGCGAGCAACTTGACGCAGTGGTTTCGTTAAGTTGCGTAAGCATCCCAGGTCTAAGTACACGGACAAGCATTGTAAACTCCCCGGGGCTGAATCTTTTAAAGCCGTGTATTTTTTAACGCGACTCCTCAGGAAAGCATTCTTTTTCTTCCGGGGAAAAAGTTGGCTTTCCGATGCGTTTGCTATCAGCCCGGTGAATGGGGTGACCAACACCATCCAGGCGACATCGGGCGATTGCTCGCCTAGAAAGGACCAGTCAGTTTCTTGAACAAGGTCGGACAGGATATCGTAATGGATGACGACGTAGGTTTCGTCGTTATTCTAACTAATGTACTCCGCGGAGCAAATATGACGAAAGAGCACCATGGTGTAATCTTTACGGCCAATTGCTGAATCTGTAGTCACGGTATTGATTATTAGTTCCTTAGTAACTATCGTTCTAGACCCAGTGAGATAAGGGCACCAAAGTTGCCTCTGCCGGGAGGCGACCGATGTTTTCACGCCGCAGATGGGATATAGAGGAACTGCGACTAGCTTTTACAGAAGGAGCGCTTGGGATATAGTATTAATGTTTTAACCCTTTCCTCGTCATTTGGCATTAATGAGAGTGAGGACGTAGTCAGCTCGAACTTTATTTTGCTATTTGCAATGGATAGCCTCAATTGAGCGAGTTGAATGGTTGGAATTGAAGCCACTCTCGGCTGTAGTAATAAGTTGTCTACAAGTCGGATATTTTTAGTCAGGACAACTATGAGTGTCATGTGACCCTCCGGGAGACAGGATAAGTTCTGGACCGATGTCTGTTACCATTGTGAACGGGGTGGTAACTTAATCCATACAAAAATCCGAATCGCTCTCCTCTCCCGCCTTTCGTAATCGTGTCTAGTTCATTAGCGGTTTGCGGTCGCCGTTACTCGAGCCACTTTACCAATTCGCTGCTTAAGATGACATTGTTCCGCGTTCACCCTAGGCGCAGGTAATAACGAACTGCTCATCTAGCCTATACACTGAGCGTCAATTGCCTGCTTTATTGACCAATGTGCAGGGGACTCTGAGTTCCCTTTCCGTCCAGGAGCTGGCGATTACATTCACTCGCCAGCTGTATAGTTTATCACACATTCTTTTTCTAGCTCCTAAGCACTCGTTATTGCTAAGTACGTCACCAGTCATGTGGCGTACCACAGTGATTATTATCTCGCCTTTGGCATACTACTCGTCCCCCAGTAGTAGCATCGCTTCCGTCGCATATCGTACTTCTCCACTCCGACTGCATAGCGACCCTGTCTCACTCCTCCGATTATTGCTCTCTTCCGGCGTCTACCATCTCCAAATACAACATTTTCTTGATCTTAAACAAATAAACGCATATGTACTATCTGCCCAGGTATCTAACACTAAATGTCGCTATTTCGCCGACGGCCTTGCAGCGAGATAATTACTTTCATTTTAGAAATTATTACTACCTTATCTACTGATAGTTGACTCATTGTTATGCCAGGGCTCAGACTATAGGATGCAATTTTTGTAATGTTAATAAATGACCTTTCGTTTCGTTGGCGTACGAGAGTCAAGAAGTCGCTCCCCTGGAAGTAGCTCCATGGAACTGCATCAGCATTAGGCCGGTACGCAGTACTAACACCTCGCTGCCATACAACCACCACCAGTTGCAAGTACATCATCCTCATCATCATTACACGTTAGCTGGAGGTGGAAAACACCTCAGCTATTGTGCCGCAATACAAAAAAAGAAAAGGAGAACTGGCAAACAGTGGCACGCCCACTGAGTCCCCAGTAACGGATGGACATCGTTCCGGAGAGCTAACAGCTGGCTGCCGTAAAAGAAAATCGTATTATGCCTAACAGGTGAGAACGTGATTGGAGGGGGATACTAAACAGGAGGGGGATGGGCAAAGGAAATCACAACACAAAGGCCATTGGTGTCGGCTCCAAGCCATATCAGCAAGTGTGTCCAACCAAACGTGTTCACCGTCCTTAGGACCCCAGCCAGGCAGTCGGGATGCACCAACCGACGCCAACTTCAAGTGAGGGTTTTCATTTCTCTCGACCAAGTCATCATTTGGCCTCCCCTCCTCCTCTTCCAACCGCACCCACAACGCGCAAGCAACGCACGTCGCGGCAGTCGGTGCGCTGGCATGCGCAACACTTGGCCCAGCCATCGGAGCCTGGTGCATGATATAATGGTGCTAGGCGGTTCACTCGCCCTTCCTGCACCAAATACGCGACGCCGAACACGCTCATTGCTCACGCGGTGCTCCCACCAGACATGAGTTAAGCTGCGAAGGCAGCGATGATCGAAGGTGACGAGCCTCTTCATGTCAGTCGACCTGATGGGCCAGGTTTCACAACCATATAGGAGAGTTGAACGGACGGCTGCGTTGTAAACTCTGCCCTTCAGAGCGAGAGTAATGTCGCATCTGCGCCACAGGTTGCGGAGATTGGCAAAAGCACCTCGAGCTTTTGCTATACGGTTCGTAAACTCATCTGCAGTTCCACGGGTGCTAATATAGCTGCCCAGGTACTTGAATTCCTGAACGACTTCTAGCAAATCACCACCAAGCGTTAGCGCAGGGTTGGGTCCCTGCCCATCTTGGAGAAGTACTTCGCATTTCGATGGAGCAAAGCATAGCCCAAGACGTTTGACAGCCAGTGCTAATCGGTCCAGTGCTCTTTGGCATGTTTGGGGGCTGTCACTGATTAGGGCAATATCGTCCGCATACTCCAAGTCAAGAAGTCGCTCACCAGGAAGTAGCTCCACACCTTCTAGGTAGTGTCCAACCAGTTGCAAGTACGCTAAGGATATTGGGAAGTTCGCCAAGTCATTATGTAAACTCCATCCTGTGCCCTCGGCTTACAAAGCAGGTTTGTGGTCCTTAAGGCTACGGGACGGCAAGTATCAATACTCCTTCCAAATTGAGTCTGGTGAGCGTAATTACCATAAATGCAGGATTACGACCTCTTTGTTTCCGAGGTTGTATGATGGAGATGCATACAGTATGGACTGCTAGTAACTGGTGTGTGTCAAGCGTTGGACACTTAAGAACATCAGGCATATATTACGCTTTCACCCTCAAGGTTATAGCGGATTGATTTGCAGCATATGTCATCAACCGTTATAATTGAGAGGATCAAAATGTGACTCACAAAACGTTCCGTATGGAGCCTCTCCTTTGAGTCGATTGGAGCAGCTGCACGGCCAATGAGTATCCAGCGAACGCAATTTCCGAGCTTTCGTTAATAGTGAAGTCAAACAAGGAAGGTGAAGGCGGACAACCTTGTCTCACACCGCTGGAGATATTGAAGGTCCGCGACAGTTTGCCATAAACCCTCACTCTGTTCGAACTATGTGCGTACAGCGTTCGTATGACCTTTACACATTTGTCGGACGAAACTTTCCTGAGAAGATCGTCTCTAACTGCATGTTAATCCACCTATTTGCATTCGGACTTTAGCCCCACTTGAAAATCGGAACCATAACGGAGCAACTCCAGTCTGTTTGGACTGCCCCTTGCTATCACTTCTTTACTACTGATTTGGATATGTCGTCCATAAAAGTTGGTCCCCTGAATTTGCAGACGGTTGCAAGAAGCCTATCTCGTTCTTTGGTCTTCTTCAATCATGGCGTTCTGTTAAAAGATATATATATATCCAGTTACAATTAGAAAATCCTCCTGCTCATTAGTAATAGGAATATAAATTCTGTTGTTAAATTTTCTTCGGTTAAACTTTTGATACCACACGGACACGTTAACCGTGAGATGAGAAAAGAACAAGGAACACGTGGTTAGTACTTACATACGGTTGATGAAATTTATACCCAGCCATATAATGTATCATGAGGAGGGCGCCTTATATAGGTGAGTTCTTTTAAATTCAGTACTTTCGCAAGCACCTCCAACGAATCTGATGCAAACGCTGTTTCCCCATTTCATTTCAGAGGTTATCGGGTTGTCTTATCGGATTATCCAGCCTTACAAAATGTGTCTACAGGCACTCTGAATACCTACATCAATCGGATGGTCCGCTGGTTGCGACTACGGCTCCGTATGCTCCCGTTGGTCGCCGGCTTGCTAGAGCCTTGCAGTGAAGCAGTCACTGTGGGGGTACTTTTCGCTTTGTCCGTCAACTACCTCTTTGATGTGCCATTTTTCTATCTGGTGTTGGGCCACTTTATAATATGGCTCGCTCTGGATTACACGTTATTGCGCTTGGTACAGGTGAGTGGTTGCTGAACCCGGAGTCGGTCTTGCATTTAGTGTGTGCGTAATTAGAGGGCGATGTTTGACCAGTGTCCCTGCTATACTTCATTGACATGAGCATCCTATCTGCCTAGAACCAATTAAAAGCCGGATTGCTTTCAACAGCAGCACAAGGCGATCGCATGATGTTTGTGCCTATCAACACAGCTGGCATTTTGGCAAAGGTAAAATACGGACCAAATACATAACCGCAAATGCTGCTAGACGGGTAGTGTTGCCAATACCGGATATTCGAGAATTCAAGTAATCTAGACTCAGCAGTAAAATGAATCGATGCATTTGCATAAAGCTAGTAAATTGTTGAGGTTCTTTGCCGACATGCACTCAGGTCTAACCGACTTATTGAATCGTAGAAAACGTCCTCGGGACAACCCATATCATGTCTACCGGCCATGCAACTTCATTCCGTACTCAAGTATCTCTGCTCAGGCACTTTTGAAAACGGTTGCATGGCCTACTTACCTATCCCGATTCGTTCCATTGTAGCACACTGCGTATGAAACTGCGTCCACAGCAGCGGTGTAAGTATATGCGTAGTGTTATTCCTCTTAGAAACATCACTTTGGACATCCAGAAGGAAATCGTCCTAATCCTGTGTTGACATTTGCTAAGTCAACTATCATCGGGATGGTTGAAACACTTGACTTCCTACCGGGAACACTTGACTTCTTACCCTGCTCTATCGGTGATTGCGTCCAAAAAGTATCTGATTGCTACTACGATGAATGCATTTGTATTTTATACAGGTGCTTGGCTGTCATACATTCCGAACTGATTGTGTGTAGGGTGGGGAAACACCGTGAAAAGTGAATAAGCGACGTACTCAAACCCTTCGAATGGCTTCAAGCCTAACAGCAAGTTGACAGGAGGTGGCAAATTAATCGGATGCCCGGTCATTTCACAGTAATTAACGCCTCTCTATGCACAGCTACAATTGGGAAGCAGTACCGACGGTATGCGGGTTCCAAACTTTGAGTGACCTGATGGAATTAGCCCCAAAATGCAGAAAGTATCACCCAGCGTAGATATAATGGTCGCACAGGCATATACATTGTGCTACGATATTATGGACTCCTGGCTTTGTCCCGCGCAGTTTGTCGCAACATACTGAGTGTGCAAAGATGATGGCAGCACTTAAGTTTTGATTGGTTGGACCTAGCGGTAAATACTCGTTTATGGTAACGCGATTATTGAACGACATTGGATCATCGGTTAGGCCGTCTGTGTTTGATATGACGTCCCACGATCAGTTGAGCTCACAGTTGACAAAGGATTTCAAGGTGCAAACATCACATAATCAATGCGGCGGTCTGGAGAGTAGCACTGTTTGCTAATGCGATATACGGTGTTTATTCAGCTTTAATTTGCGAAGAAATTGGCGTCGGTACAAAATGTATTGTAGATGCCCAAGATTTGTGTCCGTTTAGTTGAAGCATAGAATCATTATGCGTTGGAAGTTCAGTGGATTTGTCCTAAGCATACTTGGAGTTTTCAAATCGAAACGACACGAACAGCCGTTCATACATCATCCAGAGTTTGCGTCAATCGGCTAGTTGCGGCATGTAATTCCTCTGAGTAGGCAGTCACATTCATGTCGAAGGATAAGGGGGCCGATCTTCCAAACGGTAATTTTCCACAACCGATTCGATTTTGATGTCTCAGGCGTTGTTTGCTCTTAGAAATATCGAACCTACATAGTCTTTCTCTTGTTGATTGCTACCAACGTGCCCACGAAGTTGCGGTTCGCAGACACGTAGTAGCGCTCCGCACAGCTGCCCACTGCTTACTGCGGAAAGCTTCGCACTGTTTGCCGTACCTAGCGTGATGAAGGAAAAGATGTTACTAATCCCTAATCTAGCTGTGGGTAGCGGATTCGTTAAAAATTGGATTAGTCCCGGTTTTTTGATGTTGGGTATTCGATGGTAGATTAAGTACTAACAAACATTGAAGGCGCTACTTCAGTTGATGATGAAACGTCTACAACATAGTTCGGCGAGCGAATCCACACCTCAGTAAACTTGGTGTTGTTGGACCTCTTCAATTCATAGACTAGGGTTTGGGTGAACCATCCCGTGCCAAGTTTGTGACCACATGAGACGTGACTCATTGCCAACACAAGTAAAAAGGTTGGTGTCATCGTCAAATCAGACCACCTTCCTGGGATGTGTTCGGTGTCGCTGGGTGACAGTGAGAATCCTAAGAAGGTCTTTTCCCTTCGTCGTGTCATCTGTTTGTGACGAAATATTGCTGCGACTCGCGGAGTGCCTTGATCCGAAACGTCTGTTTACTACCTTCAGGTTTTACGCCAGATATCTTGCGTTCGCTTGTGGTAACTTTTATTCTATCTGCAATGATAAAGACGTGTGTTTACGTGTGTGTGTGCGCGCGACAACTGAGTTTGTTCACCTTCTTGCGTGCATGAATTTTGTCGTTTCCCTCTTTCTTTCTGTCTTTTAAATTTGATGACGAGTAAAGGGCGGCGATGCACCAGTAGAAGCTCATGATGTACTACGACGGTCGTGTTTTCCTTCACAGGCATCGCAGCAACTGTGACTTCTCGCAAGAATACCGCTAAGGCTAATATCAATGTATTAATAAACGAACTCCAACCGTAAGGAATGCCATATGAGTCGATGGTACGTAAACGCTAATGGCGCAAATTGAAAAGGTAATCAGTTGTGCGTGACAAACGCTTTCTCTTTGATTATCCTCCTTACCGTAATTTCTAGCCCTCATTTAGGTTGAGTGCAATTGAAGAAAAATGATCCACGCACGGAAGCGCGGCGGGTTCGGTTGCCACGACTCGTGTTGCCAGCATAAGCATATATAACAACAGTGAAAAAAGCGTTTGAAGGCAAATAGGTTGCAAAGAAACGACCGTCAAGAGCGAACTGCGTAGAACCAATCAGTATCGAATGAATATTAGCAGCTGGATTCAAGAACCCGAATTTAGAAACGTCACTGACTGTGCAACTGCCCAATCTCCGATATAGCATCCACGATTGCGACATGCACCACCCTGATCAATTCTCGCAATCAATTCCCCCATGCCTCCATGACACGCCATCAACTGGCCACCCATCGGTTTCGCCAAACTCGGTGGAATGACGGCGTTTGCTGCACGTCAAGGAGGAAGGCGGGTAGACGGGTATCCGGTTGACATAGTCTAGCCAATTTAAGCGGGGAACTTTAAATAAACACTCGGGGGAGGTGCCCAAAAGCTTCTTACCGAAAACCATCTGGCGGATCTCAAGATTACCCACCTGGTGTTCCCATCAAATGTGAGCAGTACACAGAAATTACCGGTGATCAAACACGGCCAACCCTTTAATGTCTTCGCGAAATGACTTGACCCCTGATCTATACAGTAACACTGTCCTTATCACAGCGGCATACCCTCTACCTTTTACTGACAGGCTGATATCTCGCCGTTTCCACAGATGATTAAGCCTCGGAAATGCCACGCGAACGTACCTGATACGAGAACAGTGGAACAATGGGTTATGGCAGGTAAAATGCACAGCCTTAACATGACTTGTAGCTTTGTAAGAGAAGAAACGGAACTTCGAATAGTAAATAAATGGACCAAATAAAATACGCATTGGTGAAGCAATGGTTCAGTTTGTCACGAGGGTTGTGGAAGTGAGATATTACCCTGTCCTCTGCACGGCAGTAACGTGTAAGTCAGTGAATAGTGAGCGGCGCTATATCACATCTAGTATTTTATTCACGATGGTCGTTGCCGTCCCCCGTACCTCAGTGTTCTCAACCACAGACTGGCAACAGTCGAGTTGCGGGTTTGAGCCCTACCAAGCGTCCGATGGAATGCGCACTGCTGATGATTCCCGAAAGGATGAAACACGCGTACAGTGCTTTTCCTGACGTGTGGCGGCAGTCTGAGTGAGTCTAGATGTGATGAATTTCTACCTATAACATGCAACTCTCCCTACTACTCTTCTGTAAAAACGAATGACCAAGTGATAATGTTAGTACGCATAGCAAGTAACACGCAGATTGCTCACCCCTCTGCACAGATTTACGTGGGTCACTGCTGGTCATAATTCCAAAGAGGCTAGCGATCCTTAATATATCCTACAATATTCGTTCAGGTAACAAAGTGCACGGCGTTCAATTCGAAATCAGATGATCTTTTGAAAACAGCTAAGGCGGGGGCATTGACTACTGAGTTTGGAAAGGCGCTCCAGGGTTGACAGCCTGGAGGGAGAAAAAAGTTCGTCGACGATCTGAATGACTGTATTGTTGACTCAGCTTCCGGCTATTGTCTCTGAGGTAGGTGTTCGTGCTGAGATGCAAAAGTTGGCGGCATACTTGACTGGTGACGCTGAGTAGTTTGTAAACTCATATGAGGTCTCCACTTAGCCAGCGATAGCGTCCACTGAACACTCCAAGGGTCTTCAGTCGTTGTTGGTACAGAAGACGCCGCAAAAGCCGGACAAATTTCATTTCACGACATTGGGGCTTTTCGAGCGCTACGAGGTCACGCATTAGCCAGCGTTGCCACACCTGGATTGCGTATTCAACGTGGGGACGCATGTAAGCATTGAGTATTAGAGAGATGATGGGTGAATCCGGACTCCGGAATGCCATCCGTAAGAGACCAACATGAGCGTAGCCACCTATGGTAGCTAATCCAAACGGTCTGGAACAACCGAGCTTGTCCTTTATTAGAACACTGAGATCACGTTCTTGAGTAATGGTCTCCGGATCATGTGCCCAAAGCTTGTAGATGTAGGCGCGTCAATGGCTGATGTAGAGAACGTGGCACTTGTCCACATTGAGTGGCAGTGCGTTCCTCACCTCTTCAGTGATGCGACCACCAGAGGTTGCACAGCTACCAAGGTAAGTGAACCGATCCACCACATTCAATAGCCGTTGGAAACTCCCAAAGGAACCTTATCCGTTAAACCACTAGCGCTGAGGCAGTTTGAGAGGTAAAC